CTTTCTTATTCCTCCCTCTATTTTACTACTATAAACTACTATTTCCTCCCTTCCTATTCCTCCCTCTATTTTACTACTATGAACTATTTTCCCTGCTTTCCTATTCCTCCCCCTATTTTACTACTATGAACTACTATTCCCTCTCTTCCTGTTCCTCCCTCTATTTTACTACTATGAACTACTATTCCCTCCTCTCCGATTCCTCCCTCTATTTTACTACTATGATCTACTATTCCCTGCCTTCCTGTTCCTCCCTCTATTTTACTACTATGAACTACTATTTCCTGCCTTCCTGTTCCTCCCTCTATTTCACTACTATGAACTACTATTCCCTCCTCTCCGATTCCCCCCTCTATTTTACTACTATGATCTACTATTCCCTGCCTTCCTGTTACTCCCCTTATTTTACTACTATAAACTACCACTCCCTCCCTTCCTGTTCCTCCCTCTATTTCACTACTATGAACTAATATTTCCTCCCTACCTATTCCTCCCTCTATTTTACTTCTGTGAACTACTATTCCCTCCCTTCCTATTCCTCCCTCTATTTTACTACTGTGAACTACTATTCCCTCCCTTCATGGTCCTCCCTCTATTTTACTAATAAGAACTACTATTCCCTCCCTTCCTATTCCTCCCTCTATTTTACTACTATGAACTACTATTCCCTCCCTTCCTTTTCCTCCCCTTATTTTACTACTATGAACTACTATGAACTACTATTTCCTCCCTTCCTATTCCTCCCTCCTCCCTCTAATTTACTACTATGAACTATTCCTATTCCTCCCTCTATTTTACTCCTGTGACCTACTATTCCCTCCCTTCATGGTCCTCCCTCTATTTTCCTAATAAGAACTACTATCCCCTCCCTTCCTATTCCTTCCTCTATTTTACTACTATAAACTACTATTTCCTCCCTTCCTATTCCTTCCTCTATTTTACTACTATGAACTACTATTCCTTCCCTTCCTATTCCTCCCTCTATTTTTCTACTATGAACTAATATTCCTTCCCTCCCTCCCTCTATTTCACTACTATGAACTACTATTTCCTTCCTTCCTGTTCCTCCCTCTATTTCACTGCTATGAACTACTATTCCCTGCCTTCCTGTTCCTCCCTCTATTTTACTACTATAAACTACTATTTCCTCCCTTCTTATTCCTCCCTCTATTTTACTACTATGAACTACTATGAACTTCTATTTCCTCCCTTCCTGGTTCTCCCTCTATTTTACTACTATAAACTACTATTCCCTCCCTTCCTGTTCCTCCCTCTATTTTACTACTACGAACTACTATTTCCTCCCTTCCTGTTCCTCACCCTATTTTACTACTATGAACTACTATTTCCTCCCTTCCTCCCCCTATTTTACTACTATGAACTACTATTTCCTCCCTTCAACCCCCTATTTTACTCCTATCAACTACTATTTCCTCCCTTCAACCGCCTATTTTACTACTATGAACTACTATCCCCTCCCTTCCTGTTCCTCCCCATATTTTACTACTATGAACTAGTATTTCCTCCCTTCCTGTTCCACCCTCTATTTTACTACTATAAATTACTATTCCCTCCCTTCCTGTACCTCCGTCTATTTTACTACTATGAACTAGTATTTCCTCCCTTCCTGTTCCTCACCCTATTTTACTTCTATGAACTACTATTTCCTGCCGTCCTGTTCCTCCCTCTATTTCACTACTATGAACTACTATTTCCTCCCTACCTATTCCTCCCTCTATTTTACTACTATGAACTGCTATTTCCTCCCTTCCTGTTCCTCCCCCTATTTTACTACTATGAACTATTATCCCCTCCCTTCCTTTTCCTCCCTCTATTTCACTACTATGAACTATTATTTCCTCCCTACCTATTCCCTCCTCTATTTTACTACTATGAACTTTTTTCCCTCCCTTCCTGTTCCTCCCCCTATTTTTCTACTATAAACTACTATTCCCTGGCTTCCTGTTCCTTCCCCTAGTTTACTACTATGAACTATTATCCCCTCCTGAACTACTATTCCCTCCCTTCCTGTCTTCCTGTTCCTCCCTCTATTTTACTACTATAAACTCCTATTCCCTGGCTTCCTGTTCCTTCCCCTATTTTACTACTATGAACTATTATCCCCTCCCTTCCTTTTCCTCCCTCTATTTCACTACTATGAACTACTATTCCCTCCCTTCCTGTTCTTCCCTCTATTTTACTACTATGAACTTTTTTCCCTCCCTTCCTGTTCCTCCCTCTATTTTACTGCTATGAACTACTATTCCCTCCCTTTCCATTCTTCTCTCTATTTTACTACTATGAACTATTTTCCCTGCCTTCCTGTTCCTCCCCCTATTTTACTACTATGAACTACTATTCCCTCTCTTCCTGTTCCTCCCTCTATTTTACTACTATGAACTACTATTCCCTCCCTTTCCATTCCTCCCTCTATTTTACTACTATGAACTATTTTCCCTGCCTTCCTGTTCCTCCCCCTATTTTACTACTATGAACTACCATTCCCTCCCTTCCTGTTCCTCCCTCTATTTTACTACTATGAACTACTATTCCCTCCCTTCCTGTTCCTCCCCCTATTTTACTACTGTGAACTACTATTCCCTCCCTTCCTGTTCCTCCCCCTATTTTACTACTATGAACTACTATTCCCTCCCTTCCTGTTCCTCCCCCTATTTTACTACTATGAACTACTATTCCCTCCCTTCCTGTTCCTCCCCCTATTTTACTACTATGAACTACTATTCCCTCCCTTCCTGTTCCTCCCTCTATTTTACTACTATGAACTACTATTCCCTCCCTTCCTGTTCCTCCCTCTATTTTACTACTATGAACTACTATTCCCTCCCTTCCTGTTCCTCCCTCTATTTTACTACTATGAACTACTATTCCCTCCCTTCCTGTTCCTCCCCCTATTTTACTACTATGAACTACTATTCCCTCCCTTCCTGTTCCTCCCTCTATTTTACTACTATGAACTACTATTCCCTCCCTTCCTGTTCCTCCCCCTATTTTACTACTATGAACTACTATTCCCTCCCTTCCTGTTCCTCCCTCTATTTTACTACTATGAACTACTATTCCCTCCCTTCCTGTTCCTCCCTCTATTTTACTACTATGAACTACTATTCCCTCCCTTCCTGTTCCTCCCTCTATTTTACTACTATGAACTACTATTCCCTCCCTTCCTGTTCCTCCCTCTATTTTACTACTATGAACTACTATTCCCTCCCTTCCTGTTCCTCCCTCTATTTTACTACTATGAACTACTATTCCCTCCCTTCCTGTTCCTCCCTCTATTTTACTACTATGAACTACTATTCCCTCCCTTCCTGTTCCTCCCTCTATTTTACTACTATGAACTACTATTCCCTCCCTTCCTGTTCCTCCCTCTATTTTACTACTATGAACTACTATTCCCTCCCTTCCTGTTCCTCCCTCTATTTTACTACTATGAACTACTATTCCCTCCCTTCCTGTTCCTCCCTCTATTTTACTACTATGAACTACTATTCCCTCCCTTCCTGTTCCTCCCTCTATTTTACTACTATGAACTACTATTCCCTCCCTTCCTGTTCCTCCCTCTATTTTACTACTATGAACTACTATTCCCTCCCTTCCTGTTCCTCCCTCTATTTTACTACTATGAACTACTATTCCCTCCCTTCCTGTTCCTCCCTCTATTTTACTACTATGAACTACTATTCCCTCCCTTCCTGTTCCTCCCCCTATTTTACTACTATGAACTACTATTCCCTCCCTTCCTGTTCCTCCCCCTATTTTACTACTATGAACTACTATTCCCTCCCTTCCTGTTCCTCCCCCTATTTTACTACTATGAACTACTATTCCCTCCCTTCCTGTTCCTCCCCCTATTTTACTACTATGAACTACTATTCCCTCCCTTCCTGTTCCTCCCCCTATTTTACTACTATGAACTACTATTCCCTCCCTTCCTGTTCCTCCCCCTATTTTACTACTATGAACTACTATTCCCTCCCTTCCTGTTCCTCCCCCTATTTTACTACTATGAACTACTATTCCCTCCCTTCCTGTTCCTCCCCCTATTTTACTACTATGAACTACTATTCCCTCCCTTCCTGTTCCTCCCCCTATTTTACTACTATGAACTACTATTCCCTCCCTTCCTGTTCCTCCCTCTATTTCACTACTATGAACTACTATTCCCCCCTTTCCATTCCTCCCTCCAATTTACTACTATGATAAACACTGAGTTTAATAGGGAACAAACTTCAATACACATAGGTAGACCTAGCTCCTCCTATGAAACATGGAGCTAATTAAGTCTGTTTAGAGCCCATTAGTCCCCCTCTTGTGCAGTGATTACCCCCTCCTGTGCTGATTTTCAACCCTCTCCTCTGTGCTGTGCTGGCTGACGAGCTCCATAAGGTGTAATGATAACTATCTATCTTAGGTTCAGACATAGACATTCATTACCAGAAATCTGTACCAGACAGCTAGTTCTTCACTTTTAAAGAATCATACAGAAGATCTGTGTTGGCATGTGTTTTAATTGACCTACAAGGCACCAGCAGAGCTCCTCAATTAGTACTGCCCTGTGTCCACCATACTAGAACATTTCCAACATGTATATCATTCTGTTATCAATTAAGCATGGTTAGCATAAATGGATTTTACTTTTGTCTTTATAAACCAAGGTTTTGAATCACAACCATGTATCACTATGGGTGACAGCTAAGTGTAGATCTCTGTGAAGTCTGGAGACAGACTTGTGTGAGAACACGGGTATTACAGACTTGTGTGAGAACACGGGTATTACAGACTTGGTGTAAAATGTTGGCGACACCATCAGTCTATCTCTCAGAGCATACAGGTCATTACTAGCACTGCCAATCAGAGACTCTCCAAGGAGACCAACACCCAGACAGTTCCAAACCTGATTTTCAGCAGCAATACAGAACTCTATAAGCAGATGATTCCATGCAGAATTGACTGGTTAATAGTAGTACAACTGCTGTTGCTGCATGATGTTGGTATTGTGTACTTGTAGCTGATGTACAGCTTCCAAGTCTTCAGTACCAACTGGTAATGACTGTGCACGGACAGAACCTAACCTACAGCTCATAAAAAGGATTTCTCTTTTAATTCTGCTGCGTGACAATCTTAAGTTTTATCAGCAGCCAATATTCCATAACTGTATGAGAGCACTTTGTAGAGGCCTCCTGGTTCGGAAAGCTGGTGAACTATTGTCTTACACTGTGAGCAAGGGTATAGGTGTAGTTTTCCAATACAGCTACGGAATTCATTGTTGAAAGCTGGTATTTATTTTCTCTGACATTGGAGTGGATACAGCTATAGCAGAGCAGCATCCAAACAACCCCCTTATAAATAGTTACATTGATTGTCTATATGGAGTAAGTGTACACATCCTGATACATATCAGTGTGTTGCTGTGATGGTCAGTTCCATTGATGACCAGAGCAGACTGTGAAACAGAGGCTGTAGCAGAGAGGTCAGATCATAAGTTCATTGTGTGATAACACTGCCATGGAGAGACCGTATCATAACAGTACAGCTGCTCACCATGTTGATCCACAACATGCACGCATCATCGGAGGTAAATATGATTGATGTCAGAAAGGTTTATCTCCCTTGTCACATATTGTCACATCATCAGAGGTAAATATGCTTGATGTCAGAAAGGTTTATCTCCCTTGTCACATATTGTCACATCATCAGAGGTAAATATGATTGATGTCAGAAAGGTTTATCTCTCTTGTCGTATATTGTCACATCATCAGAAGTAAATATGATTGATGTCAGAAAGGTTTATCTCCCTTGTCACATATTGTCACATCATCGGATATAAATATGATTGATGTCAGAAAGGTTTATCTCCCTTGTCACATATTGTCACATCATCAGAGGTAAATATGATTGGTGTCGGTTAGGTTTATCTCCCTTGTCACATATTGTCACATCATCAGATATAAATATGATTGATGTCAGAAAGGTTTATCTCCCTTGTCACATATTGTCACATCATCAGAGGTAAATATGATTGGTGTCGGTTAGGTTTATCTCCCTTGTCACATATTGTCACATCATCAGATATAAATATGATTGATGTCAGGAAGGTTTATCTCCCTTGTCACATATTGTCACATCATCAGAGGTAAATATATTCTATATCACGTAACCATATAACCATGTTTATCACATTCTACCATGAATACTATTTCTATATCACGTAACCATATAACCATGTTTATCACATTCTACCATGAATACTATTTCTATATCACGTAACCATATAACCATGTTTATCACATTCTACCATGAATACTATTTCTATATCACGTAACCATATAACCATGTTTATCACATTCTACCATGAATACTATTTCTATATCACGTAACCATATAACCATGTTTATCACATTCTACCATGAATACTATTTCTATATCACGTAACCATATAACCATGTTTATCACATTCTACCATGAATACTATTTCTATATCACGTAACCATATAACCATGTTTATCACATTCTACCATGAATACTATTTCTATATCACGTAACCATATAACCATGTTTATCACATTCTACCATGAATACTATTTCTATATCACGTAACCATATAACCATGTTTATCACATTCTACCATGAATACTATTTCTATATCACGTAACCATATAACCATGTTTATCACATTCTACCATGAATACTATTTCTATATCACGTAACCATATAACCATGTTTATCACATTCTACCATGAATACTATTTCTATATTACATAACCATATAACCATGTTTATCACATTGTACTATGAATACTATTTCTATATCACATAACCATATAACCATGTTTATCACAATTACTTACACCCCATTTAAGCATCCTCTTGTTCAAGACTGAAAAAGGCAGAAATTAAACAGGGAAAAAGGATTCCACTTTTTCAGTATGTGTAATGAAATAGTTCCTGTTTTCAATGTTCCTACTGATAGGGATCTTTAATATTTTTGTGTCAAATCCCAGGATAGTCACTACAGACATCTAAAATACTTCCTGTACTCTTAGATATCCCTCATCACGCTATTAAATCTCTCCAAAAAATGTCGAAAGTGAACACAGAAATCACATTTATAAAAAATGTAAAAGTGTTAAATTATATCGATGGTACAATTAGATGTACTGTAAATAATTGATGTGTGGTTAACCAATAAGTAGGACAGAAACTGTAATGAAACCACTATAAACATGTAACTGTAGAAGTCATACAACAGTTTTAAAATATTGTTGAAGGAATTATATTGTTGACTTAAGAATGTAGCTTTACATGAACTACAGGTACAGGTGAGGATGGCTTACCTATACATACATTACAGGTACAGGTGAGGATGACGTACCTTTACATACATTACAGGTACAGGTGAGGATGTCTTACCTTTACTTACATTACAGGTACAGGTGAGGATGACTTACCTTAACTTACATTGTACAGGTACAGAAGAGGATGACTTACCTTTACATATAGTACAGGTACAAGTGAGGATGACTTACCTTTAAATACATTACAGGTACAGGTGAGGATGACGTACCTTTACATCCATTACAGGTACAGGTGAGGATGACTTACCTTAACATACATTACAGGTACAAAAGAGGATGACTTACCTTTACATATATTATAGGTACAGGTCAGGATGACTTACATAAATGTACCTTTACATACATTACAGGTACAGGTGAGGATGACTTCCCCTCACATATATTACAGGTACAGGTGCGGATGACTTACCTTTACATACATCACAGGTCCAGGTGAGGTTGACTTACCCTTACATATATTACAGGTACAGAAGAGGATGACTTACCTTTACATATATTACAGGTATAGGTGAGGATGACTTACCTTTACTTATATTACAGGTACAGATGAGGATGACTTACCCTTACATATATTACAGGTACAGAAGAGGATGACTTACCTTTACATATATTACAGGTATAGGTGAGGATGACTTCCCTTTACTTATATTACAGGTACAGGTGAGGATGACTTACCTTTGCATACATTACAGGTACAGGTGAGGATGACTTACCCTTAGATATATTACAGGTACAGATGAGGATGACTTATCTTTACATATATGACAGGAACAGTTGAGGATGACTTACCTTTACATATATTACAGGTACCGGTGAGGATGACTTACCTTTACATATAGTACAGGAACAGGTGAGGATGACTTACCTTTACATATATTACAGGTATAGGTGAGGATGACTTACCTTTACTTATATTACAGGTACAGGTGAGGATGACTTACCTTAACTTACATTGTACAGGTACAGAAGAGGATGACTTACCTTTACATATATTACAGGTATAGGTGAGGATGACTTCCCTTTACTTATATTACAGGTACAGGTGAGGATGACTTACCTTAACTTACATTGTACAGGTACAGAAGAGGATGACTTACCTTTACATATATTACAGGTACAGGTGAGGATAATTTACCTTTACATATATTACAGGTACAGGTGAGGATGACTTACCTTTGCATACATTACAGGTACAGGTGAGGATGACTTCCCCTCACATATATTACAGGTACAGGTGCGGATGACTTACCTTTACATATATTACAGATACAGGTGAGGATGACTTACCTTTACATATAGAACAGGTACAGGTGAGGATGACTTACCTTTACATATATTACAGGTACAGGTGAGGATAATTTACCTTTACATATATTACAGGTACAGGTGAGGATGACTTACCTTTACATATAGTACAGGTACAGGGGAGGATGACTTACCTTTACATATATTACAGGTATAGGTGAGGATGACTTCCCTTTACTTATATTACAGGTACAGGTGAGGATGACTTACCTTTACTTATATTACAGGTACAGGGGAGGATGACTTACCTTTACATATATTACAGGTATAGGTGAGGATGACTTACCTTTACTTATATTACAGGTACAGGTGAGGATGACTTACCTTTGCATACATTACAGGTACAGGTGAGGATGACTTACCTTAACTTACATTGTACAGGTACAGAAGAGGATGACTTACCTTTACATATAGTACAGGTACAAGTGAGGATGACTTACCTTTAAATACATTACAGGTACAGGTGAGGATGACGTACCTTTACATCCATTACAGGTACAGGTGAGGATGACTTACCTTTGCATACATTACAGGTACAGGTGAGGATGACTTCCCCTCACATATATTACAGGTACAGGTGCGGATGACTTACCTTTACATACATCACAGGTCCAGGTGAGGTTGACTTACCCTTACATATATTACAGGTACAGTTGAGGATGACTTACCTTTACATATATTACAGGTACAGTTGAGGATGTCTTACCTTTACATACATTACAGGTACAGGTGAGGATGTCTTACCTTTACTTACATTACAGGTACAGGTGAGGATGACTTACCTTTACATATATTACAGATACAGGTGAGGATGACTTACCTTTACATATATTACAGGTATAGGTGAGGATGACTTACCTTTACTTATATTACAGGTACAGGTGAGGATGACTTACCTTTACATACATTACAGGTACAGGAGATAGTGAGTTACCTTTATATACTTTTAGATAAAGGTGATAATAACATACCTTTAAATTCATTACAGGTATAGGTGAGGCAACTGGAAGCCTGGGCTGCTGTGGCTGGATACTCACTATTCTTTCCATCCTTGTTGTCATGCTCACAATGCCCTTTTCTGTCTTCTTCTGTCTTAAGGTGAGTTCAATGAAGTCTGATACAGGTGTGCTGTTATCACATAATTTACTGTGTACTTCAGTGAATATACCCATGTCATATTGTTTTGTGTATTAACCCATGTAATATGACCTATCAGTCCTGTGATTGGTTGTAAGTTTCATTGTTTCAATTGTGACGTCGCGCCTAGGACAAGTACATGACGTCACAAACTTACGCACTGGCGTCACTGGCGGCTTTTTACATTTCAAGATTGCATGAAAATTGTCGTTTTACTCAAATAAATGCCAAAAATCTTGATTATATGATAAAAAGGATCCTACACTTGTTTTCATTTCATATGAAATTTATGAAACTCGTCACAAATTTTTCATTTAACCTCGCTAGATGTTCACTAAATTGAAAAATTCTTAGACTTGTTTCATAAATCTCATATGAAATGAAACTCATGTAAGATCCGATATTTATGTCTAGTTATATATTCTTCTGCAGTAAGCTTAAGTAAATTGATGTATCAAATAGACTGCCTCATTTACTAGTACAAAATGTCTATAATGAACATTGATGAAATTCTACTTAATTGTTCCTTTATGTAAATTTGCAAAACTTACAATATTTCATAAAAATTACTTCATTATGATTAACGCTGACAGGTCGTACAAGAGTTTGAAAGGGCAGTAATATTCCGGTTGGGCCGACTGTTATCTGGAGGAGCTAAGGGGCCAGGTATGTACATACTTAGCAGGAATGAGGGGCTTATACCAGAGGGGCTAAGAAATAAAGGGCCGATTGTTATCTGGAGGGGCCAAGCCTGGGCCAGGTATATGTACATACTTAGCAGGAATGAGGGGCTTATACAGGAAGGACCAAGAAATAAAAGTCTACATTAATATTGTTAGTAAAAAAAAACATAGAACAACTTAACATGGAATTTATATATAAATATTGAAAATACGAATTTATGTTGACAATAAGTATTCTGATAGGGAAGCTTTTTTTCACCATCATTACATTAGCTCAACAGAATCATGTACTGGTGTGTCTTTGTTCTTCATCTTCCTCCCATCAAATAGTTCCTCTATCTATAACGGTACTGGACAAACGAAACCAAACCAGTGATATCCGTCATTGGATTGGAACAGGATTTGTTCAAATCGAAAGACTGAGCCTGTAGGCTGGTTGCATGCTTGCATCATTAGTTATTTAATGAAATATTCAAAAATCTTCTTCTGCAGTTCTATAATCAATTTTGGGAACCAACACTGCAGCCAGATCCATCCTGTGTTTGGGGGGAAACATTTTCAGTTTTCTATTCAAAAGTGTTGCAGCATTAATCTAGCTACAAACCTATAGCTGGGACCTATCTGACTGACAGCTCAATAAAGCCATTATGTCAATTATTCAATTTTTCGTAGAACAAGTTGTAGTAAATCTTAAATAAATCTGATTTCAGTCTATTTGATTGCCTACACAAAACTGTTCAATATATTCTGAATTTTCTACTTAGATGTGAGATAAGTGTTCTGCAGAAGTTTGTACATTGTAAAGGTCTTCATCAATCCCCAAATCCTTTATAAACAAATTAGATTTGAAAATTGATTTGTTGAACATGACTTCATCCAACTCAGTAACATATAACGGAATCCCATTTTTTGTCTGCAGGTATATTTTTTGTACTTCCATGCATTGAGAGCTACACAAAGGTTGATCTCAGAACAGTATCATTTGATGTTCCCCCTCAGGAGGTAAGTCTGATCATGATGAGCACAGCTGTTAAAGTTAATCAGATGTACAATATAACCTGTTTAAACTGGAACTCTTAATTGGGGCCCTGTACAAACTAAATACTCTATAAAATGGAGACTTGTCTAAACAGACTCTCTATCATCTAGAGACCTGTATAAACCAGACCATCTATACTATAGAGGCCTATATACAAAAACCAGACCCTCTATAATATAGAGATATGTATAACCAGACCCTCTATAATATAGAGGCATGTATAAACCAGACCCTCTATAATATAGAGGCCTGTATAAACCAGACCCTCTATACTATAGAGGCCTGTATACATAAACCAGACCCTCTATAATATAGAGGCCTGTGTTAACCAGACCCTCTATAATGTAGAGGCCTGTATAAACCAGACCCTCTATAATATAGAGACATGTATAACCAGACCCTCTATAATATAGAGGCCTGTATAAACCAGACCCTCTATAATATAGAGGCCTATATACATAAACCAGACCCTCTATAATATAGAGGCCTGTGTAAACCAGACCCTCTATAATGTAAAGGCCTGTATAAACCAGACCCTCTATAATATAGATGCCTGTATAAACCAAACCCTCTATAATATAGAGACATGTATAACCAGACCCTCTATAATATAGAGGCATGTATAAACCAGACCCTTTATAATATAGAAGCCTGTGTAAACCAGACCCTCTTTACTATAGATGCCTGTATAAACCAGACCCTCTATAATATAAAGACCTGTATAAACCAGACCCTCTTTAGTATAGAGGCCTGTATAAACCAACCCTCTATAATATAGAGGCTTGTATAAACTATACTATAATATAGAGGCCTGTATACACCAGACCCTCTATAATATAGAGACATGTATACATAAACCAGACCCTCTATCATATAGAGGCCTGTATTCATAAACCAGACACTCTATAATACAGAGGCCTATATACATAAACCAGATCCTCTATAATATAGAGGCCTGTATACATAAACCAGACCCTCTATCATATAGAGGCTTTCATAAACTATACTATAATATAGAGGCCTGTATACATAAACCAGACCCTCTATCATATAGAGGCCTGTATTCATAAACCAGACCCTCTATAATACAGAGGCCTATATACATAAACCAGACCCTCTATAATATAGAGGCCTGTATACATAAACCAGACCCTCTATCATATAGAGGCCTGTATTCATAAACCAGACCCTCTATAATACAGAGGCCTATATACATAAACCAGACCCTCTATAATATAGAGGCCTGTATACATAAACCAGACCCTCTATCATATAGAGGCCTGTATTCATAAACCAGACCCTCTATAATACAGAGGCCTATATACATAAACCAGACCCTCTATAATATAGAGGCCTGTATACATAAACCAGACCCTCTATCATATAGAGGCCTGTATACATAAACCAGACCCTCTATAATATAGAGGCCTATATACATAAACCAGACCCTCTATAATATAGAGGCTTTTATAAACTATACTATAATATAGAGGCCTGTATACACCAGACCCTTTATAATATAGAGGCTTTTATAAACTATACTATAATATAGAGGCCTGTTTACACCAGACCCTCTATAATATAGACATGTATACATAAACCAGACCCTCTATCATATAGAGGCCTGTATACATAAACAAGACCCTCTATAAAACAGAGGCCTATATACATAAACCAGACCCTCTATAATATAGAGGCCTGTATACATAATACAGACCATCTATTACCTGGCAAACTATATATTCTGAATACAGTGTAATCTTGACCTTTAAATTAGTGTCACTCTACAAACTATTAAGAACTTAGTTCACATAAATTGATCAAGAGGAACTACAGATAGTTTATCTTTGAGTGAACATTAGAATGACATTATCAGAGGTAAACAGAGAAATCAGCCCAAAGTTACAGATATAATAATGGAATAGTTCCTTTAATTTTTACAACACATATGAATACATGTTGTAGTCATGGTATACAACTAAACATATGAATGAAGATTGAAGGCTGATACCAATAGTGTTATTCTGTTTCAATGTTTTGAACTGTTAAAGTACCGTCAGTAATGTTAAAGCACCGTCAGTAATGTTACCGTCAGTAATGTTAAAGTACCGTTAGTAATGTTAAAGTACTCTCAGTAATGACATGTTGTAGTCATGGTATACAACTAAACATATGAATACATGTTGTAGTCATGGTATACAACTTAACATATGAATACATGTTGTAGTCATGGTATACAACTAAACATATGAATACATGTTGTAGTCATGGTATACAACTAAACATATGAATGAAGATTGAAGGCTGATACCAATAGTGTTATTCTGTTTCAATGTTTTGAACTGTTAAAGTACCGTCAGTAATGTTAAAGCACCGTCAGTAATGTTACCGTCAGTAATGTTAAAGTACCGTCAGTAATGTTAAAGTACTCTCAGTAATGTTATAGTACCGTCAGTAATGTTATAGTACCGTCAGTAATGTAAAAGTACCCTCAGTAATGTTAAAGTACCCTCAGTAATATTAAAGTACCGTCAGTAATGTTGAAGTACTCTCAGTAATGTTATAGTACCGTCAGTAATGTTAAAGTACCGTCAGTAATGTTAAAGTACCGTCAGGGTACCCTCAGTAATGTTAATGTACCCTCAGTAATATTAAAGTACCGTCAGTAATGTTGAAGTACTCTCAGTAATGTTATAGTACCGTCAGTAATGTTATAGTACCCTCAGTAATGTTAAAGTTCCGTCAGTAATGTTATAGTACCGTCAGTAATGTAAAAGGACCCTCAGTAATGTTAAAGTACCCTCAGTAATATTAAAGTACCGTAAGTAATGTTGAAGTACTCTCAGTAATGTTATAGTACCGTCAGTAATGTTAAAGTACCCTCAGTAATGTTAAAGTACCCTCAGTAATATTAAAGTACCGTAAGTAATGTTGAAGTACTCTCAGTAATGTTATAGTACCGTCTGTAATGTTAAAGTACCGTCAGTAATGTTAAAGTACCCTCAGTAATGTTAAAGTACCCTCAGTAATATTAAAGTACCGTAAGTAATGTTGAAGTACTCTCAGTAATGTTATAGTACCGTCTGTAATGTTAAAGTACCGTCAGTAATGTTAAAGTACCGTCAGGGTACCCTCAGTAAAGTTAATGTACCCTCAGTAATATTAAAGTACCGTCAGTAATGTTGAAGTACTCTCAGTAATGTTATAGTACCGTCTGTAATGTTAAAGTACCGTCAGTAATGTTAAAGTACCGTCAGGGTACCCTCAGTAATGTTAATGTACCCTCAGTAATATTAAAGTACCGTCAGTAATGTTGAAGTACTCGCAGTAATGTTATAGTACCGTCAGTAATGTTAAAGTGCCGTCAGTAATGTTAAAGTACCGTCAGGGTACCCTCAGTAAAGTTAATGTACCCTCAGTAATATTAAAGTACCGTCAGTAATGTTGAAGTACTCTCAGTAATGTTATAGTACCGTCAGTTATGTTAAAGTTCCGTCAGTAATGTTATAGTACCGTCAGTTATGTTAAAGTTCCGTCAGTAATGTTATAGTACCGTCAGTTATGTTAAAGTACCGTCATTAATGTTAAAGTACTCTCAGTAATGTTATAGTACTCTCAGTAATGTTATAGTACCCTCAGTAATGTAATAGTACCGTCAGTTATGTTAAAGTACTCACAGTAATGTAATAGTACCGTCAGTAATGTTATAGCACCGTCAGTTATGTTAAAGTACCATCAGTAATGTTAAAGTACTCTCAGTAATGTTATAGTACCGTCAGTTATGTTTAAGTTCCGTCAGTAATGTTATAGTACCATCAGTAATGTAATAGTACCGTCAGTTATGTTAAAGTACCGTCAGTAATGTTAAAGTACTCTCAGTAATGTAATAGTACCGTCAGTTATGTTAAAGTTCCATCAGTAATGTTATAGTACTTATAGTACCGTCAGTAATGTTAAAGTACCCTCAGTAATGTTAAAGTACCCTCAGTAATGTTATAGGTCCGTCAGTAATGTTAAAGTACCCTCAGTAATGTAATAGTACCGTCAGTAATGTTAAAGTACCGTCAGTAATGTTAAAGTACTCTCAATAATGTTTAAGTACCCTCAGTAATGTTAAAGTACTCTCAGTAATGTTAAAGTACCGTCAGTTATGTTAAAGTTCCGTCAGTAATGTTAAAGTACTCTCAGTAATGTTATAGTACCGTCAGTTATGTTAAAGTACCGTCAGTAATGTTAAAGTACTCTCAATAATGTTTAATTACCCTCAGTAATGTTAAAGTACTCTCAGTAATGTTAAAGTACCGTCAGTTATGTTAAAGTTCCGTCAGTAATGTTATAGTACTTATAGTACCGTCAGTAATGATAAAGTACCCTCAGTAATGTTAAAGTACCCTCAGTAATGTTATAGTACCGTCAGTAATGTTAAAGTACTCTCAGTAATGTTAAAGTACCGTCAGTTATGTTATAGTACCGTCAGTAATGTTATAGTACTCTCAGTAATGTAATAGTACCGTCAGTTATGTTAAAGTTCCGACAGTAATGTTATAGTACTTATAGTACCGTCAGTAATGATAAAGTACCCTCAGCAATGTTAAAGTACCCTCAGTAATGTTAAAGTACTCTTAGTAATGTTAAAGTACCGTCAGTTATGTTAAAGTTCCGACAGTAATGTTATAGTACTTATAGTACCGTCAGTAATGATAAAGTACCCTCAGTAATGTTAAAGTACTCTTAGTAATGTTAAAGTACCGTCAGTTATGTTATAGTACCGTCAGTAATGTTATAGTACCCTCAGTAATGTAATAGTACCGTAAGTTATGTTAAAGTTCCGTCAGTAATGTTAAAGTACTCGCAGTAATGTAATAGTACCGTCAGTTATGTTAAAGTTCCGACAGTAATGTTATAGTACTTATAGTACCGTCAGTAATGATAAAGTACCCTCAGCAATGTTAAAGTACCCTCA